AGTTCAATAGTGAGACAGTCGGTCAACTACAACGCCTTGAACTTTGTAAGTATTACTTACATCAGCCAGTTCAAGTTACTATTATCACATTAGGACACAGACACACACGCACACACACAGAGTGATCGAACGGTCGATTGAAATTGCATTAGTAGTAGAACTGATAGTAGAAGAGTTGAATAGTGAATGAGTAAAAGGATTTATTTATAAAAATTGGCAGAATAACATGAAAATATGAAACACCTGGTGATTCATTAGAAGAATAGAAGGAAGACTGTCGACAGAATAACACAAATTAATCGTTGTGATGAGAAAAAAATTATATATACAATATAAGCATATATATATATATATATATATATATATATAAAATACACACATGATCATTTATTCACATTTTTTATAAAATTGTCAAATGAAATTTCAGAATGACATGTATGCTGCTTATGCCTACAATTTCATGGATTGTTCATTTATTGATTCAGTAAATGGATTCAATAGTTTCATTGTGATTTTAGTCGGATTTCTCATTGAACATTCAAATAGCACACGATAATTTGGTATGAATGACCAATGGATACCAAGGCAACCAATGGATGATATTGGTAGATTGAGCAAATTGCGATTAGACACTTGATGATTATTGACAAAATGATTCAACTGTGATCGTGCATGATTTGTAACTAGAATAGCACAATGATACATTGTAGATAAACGTTGAAGTTCCGAAATAATGAGAGCAAGTTGTGAGATAGCTTTTCATCATGATAAGAAATAAATATGCAATAAAATTAATATTAACTTTTTTTTTTATTTTGATAAATTTTTTGCTAAAAAAGTCGACAATAGATTGTAAACATTAAAACAGAATTTACACATACCGGATGAACTTTACACCACAAAAATTAAACTTTATGTAAAAAAAAACATTTTAACTTGTAGAATTATGTAGACAACAAAATATGCGCCACACAAATCATTGAGTTTGTGTACGGGTACTCAAATCCAAGTAGGTGGTTCTCTTAGGGCATTATTATTCAAATCTTTGATCCATAGGTTTAGTACATAAACTAATAGAGAAATGTTAGCAGATTTTAATTTGTAGACAATATCCTTGTTAAGAGAAGTCGTTGATTAGAAATCACCAGACCATGTGAGGATTTCGAAAGCAAACACTCTTCAACCTCAACCGTACCAGATCATTTAGAGACTAAGAGTTAGTCACTGACTTACAGAAGTTTAGTTTCGAAACGAGGTTGAAAATAAATAAGCACTGAAACATCTTTTATGAAAAATCAGAATTTACATTTCCCAAAACAGTGTTTGAAACACATTTGCATTGTACCAAGAATTATTTTAACATTTCTAAAACTTTGAGAGTAGCACAATGTTAATTCTTATTAAATATGATAAAAATAGAGCATGCTTAATTAGACCAGTGTTAACATCGATGACAATAACTAGAGAATACAAATGTTAATATCAATGTAAACACTTGTATATACTGTGAATTAAATTATCTATTGATATAAAGCCGATGGATTGATATTGAACTAAAATAACTAAATAAAATGAATTGCTGGGCAAAATAATCAAGGAAAATTAATCCTATACACAGATGAATCAGTTATACTAAACAGTATGATCAAAATGAATACATCGATTTACAAAATCGTAAATTGTATGAGATTAGCATTCAAGTAATAACGATTTAACTAGTTCATTGGAATCACGAACTGATTGATGAAAGTAAAACAACTGATGAAAAGCTAGAAGCACAGGGACACAGTCGCATAGTTTCATTACGAAGATTCTCAGCAGTGAGCATCCACAACTCAATGGACGGTCTTAAGTGTGATTCCTATTGTACAGGGTTGCGAATGCACACTCTCGAGTAGTCTCATACAATGACAATTTATGATTTCAATGAAGCAACACTACATATAATATGTACATGTATAAACACAAATAGCTTACCCAATTGTGGTAATGTGGACATGTATGGTAGAAATGGCATCGCTAAACTATCTATGATGATAAGTTTACATTTTGCGAAAAATTCCTCTTCACAAGTGGATAAACTGCATAGATGACATTGTGCTTTGTCTATATACATTCGTATAGTTGTTAATGTATCAATTAAATGACCAATGGTTGGTACTAAACAGCAACGAATTCTAGTGAGACATTGATTAACATTCTAAGGTCCCAAAATGAGAAGATTAACCAGTGATATAAAAAAAAAAGAATTTTAAATGACAATCAATACGTACAATTAAATATTACACTCAATACAATATTGTAATAAAATGAAAGTGTAAGTTTAATTACTTTCAATAAACAGATTTTCAGCATAAAAATGCTACGATATATATTATTATGTTTACCAAATTGAGATAAGATGAAACAATGTAGAAATAAATGATTTCATGTTAGAATGTTAGTCAGTATTTAAAGACTTGAGGACTATTTTTCTTTTTTGAAATAATTCAATCGATTGAATCTATCGAAAAATACATTGACAACTTCAATAAAAATCCAGAATGTATTCAACACAATCAGCATTACTAGTTAGTGTGTATTTATGTGAATTATTTTACTTTGATGTATAATTTGCTGAAACTCTCAGGTCAATTGTAAGTAAAGCCGTTTTGGATAACATGTAAACTAATTTTTACAAATAATCAGTTCAAATGGTGTCAATAAGACAAATATATTCAATGTTCAAGTGTAATTACTTCTGTCACAACAGACAAATTTAATTCAATTTCACCTTAGATACAACATGGTAATTAATATAGATTCTCTTTCATTAAATAATACAAATTTTTAATATTTGGTTCAATTAATTGAAATGTATGCCTGTTTTGTAAACATCCGGTTTGTGAGTTTTTTTTTGTTCTTTTTAAAAAAAAATTGTAATAATAATAATAATAATAATAAATTTTAACCAGCTGAAATATTTAGGTCAGTAAGTATAGTAGACAATATTCTTGTTTTAATATTTTATTTTTTAAAACAAAAAAAAAATATTTTATGAAATGCAATTAAATTAGTCAATGAAAACATTTTCACTAGTTTATTTATCATTATTGATGAGATGGTATTGCCAGACAAATTTTATCACAATTGAATGTGACCTATACATACACATACATAAGACAGATAGATAGATAGATAGAATACACAGAATAGAGACAGAATAGATATTAAAGATTTCAAATGTGAAATAACAGACAATTAACAATCATTAGTAGTAGTAGTAGTAGTAATCGTAGTAGTAGTAGATATTTTTTTCAATGTAAGAAAGAGATTAAAGAGAGAGAGAAAAAAAATCATTTTCAATAATACATGCTAATTATCATAAGTGTAATTGATCAAGTTAGACATTAACACCGTTAGATACCGGCTCAGTGGTGAGATGGTTAGGCGTTCGCGCACAATACCGAAGGTCCTGGGTTCGAAACTTGCGAGCTGCAGGAGTCGTGGATGCGCACTGCTGAGGAGTCCCATACCAGGACGAAACGGGCGTCCAGTGCTTCCAAGTTTCTAATGGTGGTCTAACATTGATCGATTCATAGTTTCAAAAATGTATAAATGTAATTGCAAAAGGCTTTTTCATAAACTTAAAAATAATAATTCATTGAGACAATACAATGAGAAGATGAGTGATTATCAAAATAGCACTAACTGTTTATGTATCATAATGCATCCATCGAAAAGATCAGTCAGGATATGCGCATGCGTTCTAATGTCTTTTAACATTAATGAATTTAAGAAATCACACAATTACAACATGGCTGATTTGTATTCAATTAAGAAAAACAAGATGAAAGTATGATTATTCATTTGACCTCATCTAACCAGTATGGAGAAGCAAAGCACCTGACATTCCTTAGGTTCATTGTTACACGTACTAGTAACTTAATCTGCTTTCAAAGGTGTAATCATTCATTAAGTTCCGTAATCGAAAAGTGAATAACTGTCTAATTCGATTCGACTAACAATCTACTTTGACCTTCGATTATAAGATTACACATATATTCGGAGCATTATTCATCTATGAATGAAACCAAATGTTGAATAATTTGAAGCTTAAATGTAAAACGCTTACGTACTAAACCTATGGATCAAAGGCTTGAGGCATAGTGCCCTAAGAGAATCACTTACTTGAATTTGGGCACTCGTACAATATGCCCGCCCACGGAAAAACTCAATTATTTGTGTGGCGCATATACATCTATATATATAATATGTTGTCCAATCGTGCTAATGTTTATGAGTAGTTTAAATCAATATAAAATTACACACAATTGTTTGCTAGACATTCTATTACACTACTTTTTTAAGTGCAGTAAAAAATCAGAAAATGTCTCTTCTTTTACATTAATTCAAATTGTATAATTCTTATGCGTTAATCGATAGTTCTTGTCTTGTAAAAGCACTATAGTTCAATTTGAACATATCGAATTGAGAACACGTTTACACAATTAAAATATACACGGTTTAACCAGAGATGAATCATGAAATTTACATCTCAATGTGTTTGTTGTTACTTTTTTCACTGATATGCATCAATGTCTACATAGATAGATGTAGATAGATGTATATGATTGTATGGAAGAAGGATAAAAATTCTCTGTAGGAGGATAGATTTTTTTGTGATGTGGTTTAGAATACAATAGGAAGAAAAATAAAACTTATTTCAATTTTTGTCTACTGATTCCAGTTCGTATATTTTAATATTAACATACAAAGGCCAACCAAGAGTCATGCTTTTCTGTAGATTGACACTGAATATGATTTCCAATCAAATTTAAAATTAATCATTAAAATGTGAAGGCAATGGAAATTGAATTTTTCTTCCTTAAATTACATCACATGAATGGAAGAGTGTTGTTAGCAAAGTATAATTAATTCAATTACTTTAGGTCAATTGAAATAACAAGACAAATTATCAATGATCAGAAGGAATATCATGGATAGAGTGATTTTTTTATAAAAAAAAAAGGAAACAAAAATAATTCTACTTTACAATTTAAACAAAAACTTTATCATAGAAAATTAACTTGAAATATTAATAGGACGAAGTAGTAAGTCAACGATAGACAAGCGGATCACTGAATGCATTCAATGTTCACAAGGTCACACAAATAATAATAATAATAACAACAATATTTGAATAAACAGAAGGAGAGAAAGGATATATATGGATTGATTTCAGTGAAGTCACGTGACAATGAAGATGAGCATTGATTTACTGAGACAGTGTAGGTGAATGCATTGTTACTGCAACATAGTATGATTATGATTACTGTTTGGCGATTTCGTTTTCAAATGAATTGCTTTGCTAAGCTTTTCAATAAATCGATGAGCTTTTCTGTGCTCTTTCTCCAAAGTCACCTGTTTCATTCAAATCGATATTGGATATTTTCAAATTGATTTTTTTTTTTTGAGAAATTGATGATATCACATCACAGTAACCAAGAAGATTTGCAATAAAAAAAAGAAATCATTTCTCATTCTATTGTCAAAATTTAAAATTTTATGTAGAGTAGTAATACAGTTAGTTATGTAAATAAAATGGTTTGACATAATTTCAATGGATGAAATAATATTTTTTTAAAAATGGATGAATGCAAAAGAATCAAAAATCACTCAACAAAATAAAACGATTAAGAAAAATAAAAATGTATACAGAAAAAAATGTTCTGCTACGAAACGGAGATGAGATTAGTGAATGAATAAGTAATAATACTAAGAATGGATGATGTAACCGTCATGAAAACAATAACCGATTGCATAATCAGTCAAGACAATTGAAACTAAAGTCAAATCAATCTATAACCACAAATAAAATTACGTGACAGATAGAAACTATTTGATTACCAACATAATCATTCTGTCAAACAGGCTTATTATACTGTTCTTTTGTACATGTGTAGGTCAGGCTGGCAAAGTTTGATAGTAATTATCACTAAAAATCCAAGTTTTATTTACAGTTAGTGCTTGTTCATGACTCTGAATACTTTACAGATGTCCATATTATGATGATGAAGATTGCACTTACAAAAGCCTAAATAACTTTCACACTCAGGTTTCCAGGATCATATTCGGAAAATATAGTACGAAGTCATCTTTTGCAAGTACCTATGAATTCATAAAAAGAACAGGAGATGTAGATCAACGAAACTTTGAAGGATTGGAAACACGCGGTACTGTATAATAAAACCAGTTGCGGTTCAAGAGAAGCTTGTTCTCTGTGTCTGTGTGATATTTTTGATTATCCAATGAAGAGAGAGCGAATAAAGACAGGCATTTTATAGAGAGTTCGTTCTGTCGAACCTCTAGGATATTCTTTCCGCACTTAACACTAATTGCTTTCAGGTATTGATTTTCATAATGTTCTTTTGAATGACTGACAGTTTCTCATTTATTTTACTGTTTACTTACGTCTGTTACCTCTCGTGAAGCAAAGTCTGCTGACTAGCATTCACCAACCAACTTTGTCCTGAGCCTTCTTTACCAGGTCTATCCAATTGCTGTTCATTCTTCCCATGTCTGCTTCCGATTCTCTACGTTATGTGTTTTTTGGTTCGTCGGGCTTCAGGATTCCAAGCAAGGGCTTGTCGTATGACTTAGTTGGCTGTTTTCCTCAATGTGCATCCTATCCAAATCCTGTGCATTTTCCTGATTTCTTCCTCAGCCACAATCTAGTTTGTTCTTTCTCACAGTAGGTTGTCACTCATGGTGTCTAACAAATGGATCCTCAGTATCTCATGGCTTTCGTAGCTCTCTAAGCTTCCGCCCTATACATTAGAACCTTCTTGACTTTTGTACTGAAAAATTCTGACTTTGGTGTTGGTTGAAAGTTGTTTTGAGTTCTATAAGTTCTTCATTTATAGAAATGCTGCTCTCGCCTTGCCAATCTGAGCCTTAACATCAGCATCAAGTTCACCTTGCTCATCAGTGATGCTACCTAGATATGTAACGCTTTTTACATTCTTCAAAGCTTCTCCATCAAGTGTGGTTTGGTTGCTGTATGTTGTAATGTATCGGAGAACCTTCCATTTCACTTTGAGTATGTTGAGACCTGCTGATTCTGCTGCTTCACTGCTCCTCTTCCCTTGTATTTTCTCGTTGGATGTGCGATAGAAGAGCCAGGTCAAGATTGGGGACGTTAGATCCCCAGAACTCGCTTGGTAAATGCCTTATCTTGGATTTCACGTTTGCGAGCATGGACTGATCAGTTGACCTTGAGGTTTCATTTCCAATCAGGAAAATCTACGGTTGTGATTGGCTGCTGTGTATTTTAGTGTGCTATTTTCGTAACTGTCTCAAGGACGTTTCTATGATGTATAAATGAACGAGAGTTGTGTGCTTGATTGTATTGTGATTGCTGGATGTTTGTAGAATATACTTTCTACGCTTACAAAGCCTTCTGTCTTCAGCTCGGGATTCAAGGTAGCCTATCTAGACGCTAGTAATTGTCTCATTCGCGTTTATCGACTAAGGTGAACTCGTAATTGCTTCAAGCGTACCTAGTGACGAACATATCAGTTAGGAAACCTCGTCTGGCACCGGTCTTTACTTTGAATGTGTGTAAGCTGCTTTCCACGTACGATTTCACAGTTTCATCCATCATAAATATTTTTTCAGGCGTTCATAGTGTCATCCTTTCTACGCTATCAAATGCCTTGTCATAGTCAATTAAGTTGATGTAGAGCGGCGTATCCCATTCAAGTGATTGTTTCACAATAATCTGTGGTGTCGCGTTTTGGTACACGTCAGTACACGACCGATCCTTACGGAATCCAACCTGCTGATCATCAATTGTCGGCGGGTCAACACTAATTTAGAGGTCCGTCAGTGTTGTTTCGATGTTGGAAGGATTCAGTTTGGCTGGTCGGTTCGAGCGTTTTCCAACGTGATCTACCGACCAGTTTCTGTTCTTTAGTATCGTTGATTACTTTGCCTTCTTTAATTTTCAATGGTTGTTCTGGTTTACAATATATTCCAGCAAGCTTCTTCGTTGCATCATATTCCCTTGTCTTGCAGCTTCTTCTGCTGTCGTGCCTAGATCTTCCGGGAATTTTCGCTGATCAGCTCTGATGCAACTTCCTCTCCCCACTTGCTTGCTTCTGGGAATTCAGCTCTTTCCTTCGCTTCTTGTACTCGTAGTCAAAGACGTTGATGTATATAGGTGAATTCCGTCCAATTGATTGTTCCACGATGATCCGTAGCATCACGTTTTGTTAAGTACATGATCAATCATTACGTAATCTAAACTGCTGATCTGGAAGTTAGGCATCTACTGACTCTTTCATTTGGTTCAGCGAAACTCTGTTGAACACTTTTCTTGGTGCTGATAAAATGATGCCTCCAAGTTGAATCATATAGTAGTCACATGTTCCTTACTCTTGCAGCTTCTCCTGTTGTGAAACGATCTTCTATGTATCTACTTTTGTCGACTGTGATGCTCCTCTTTACTTGCTTATTTCCTACAGTGAACTTGGTTTTTATTTTGACTTTCTCTGATCTTGTTCGGCTGTGATTGATTGCTGCCTTCCCGTTCTTCTTTTCTCGAATTCTATCTAGAGTATCCGCAGAGATTCATTCCTTGTGACCCAGATCCTCACGACATTTTGAAGTAACTGCTTCCTAGATTACTTCCCAGCTGTGTTCAATGGCAGATCCTTTCTATTAAGTAAACTGTGAAAGGCAATCTTGAACTCGTTGATTTTGTCAATAAACCAGAAAAAGGCAGACTTAGATTTTTCTAATGTTTTCCCAACTGGTGCCCAGTGGTTTTGCAGTTTCAGCTCCATCCTGGCAACCACTTTGTCATGATCTGAGGTTATGTCAGCTGCTCTCTTGGTTTTCACATCCCACATGGTCCTTCTGAACTTTTTATTGATGCACATGTGATCGATTTGGTTCTCTGTGGTGTGACCCAGTGAAATTCACGTAGCCTTTTGCATGCTTCTGTGTGGGAATATTGTTGAACGCACATAGGTATGCAAATCTCTCACCACTTTCGTTCTATTCTTTCAGTCCCTGTAGTCCCTTAATGCCTTCATATCCGGTATTGTCCATTCCAAACATGGCATTTAGGTCTTCCATCAGGATGATCAAGTGCTTTATTCAGCATTTTACAACGGTTGACTGCAGCCTCTCGAAGAATTCATCTTATCAAGTTTTATCTGGTCAAGAAAGCGATACAGGTGTCACGAATTTCTTCTAAACATATTTCTGTCGTATACCTACATCATTTCCCAACGGAGTTCCATCTCGTCTCCTACATACAACAGAAGCCATAGAAATTCAAACATTCAAAACCAAATTTATGTATTTAGAACTTTTTATCTGGCTTTAATACACTGATTTTACCATTCCTATAAAATCTTTTTAATGCCAATACAAAAGCTCGCTCCTTAGTTAGAATCGTTGAATATGTTGTACATAGGGAAAGGTGATATCGATGTGAAATGGTTGGATTATTGTGAATAGTGAATTTATCGATTTTTTCCCACTTGATTAGTGGTAAAGATTTTCGAATTGTGTTGACATGTTGGTTAAAAACAAGGTTGCATGAAGAAGAACCGCTATGCTCATTTAATGTACCGGATATCTTTGACCTCTTTGTCTTCATTATTATTCAATCTTGATTGTTTTATTATTGTAAAAGCGATTCTGTGTCTTGAATCTACTCGATTATTATACGAAATTATAAATAGATGTTTTCTTACAAATGAACAAAAGCGACCACGATTGATTTTCAATAGTTTAATCGAATGAAGATCATCAGCAAACGGATTGAAATTAGTTTAGATAATGCAATGACAGAAGAAGAAGACAATGTTTATCAGAAACAGTGTGATCAATTTGTGCAATCTATTTAAGGAGAAATCTAACAACCTGATATGTGAGTAGAATAAAAAATACGTACAACAACACATACAAACTCAATGAGAGATAAGGAAAAATAAAGATGATAATCAAGGAAATAATATGAATCCCATTACACTCGATAGTTAATAAGTACAGTCTACATTTCAAGCTGAGAAAAACTGTTTGTAAACCCAGAGAGGGTATTCAAATCTTTGTATGATTGAAGCTTCAACAAACTTCAATGTACTAACTAATCTATACAACACCACAAAGGTGGATTTGATATAAATCCTTCAGTCAGATGTGGTTGTAGTTGTTGTTGTTGTTGTTGTTTGAAATTTTGTACACTTCATAGACTATTGCGATTCATTTACATTAGTGGCCATTTAGCTATGAGATTGACAACTTTTGTTATGCTGATAATACTGCTCTTGTGTGTGTGTGTGTGTGTTTGTATGTGTCTGCGAATGCATATGTAAATTGATGAATATAGTAGTATGTAGAATACTCGTTTACAAACTGTTTACCATTTTGGTAAAGTGTAGACCTTCTAGATGAAACTGGTTTTCGTGCTTCCTCTTCGGTTAGGAAACTTAATATTGGGCTGTTGTTTAAGCATAGAGTAACAAATCTCTCATCTTCGTTGCCTATCATTCAGTCAGTCACTTAAAGATCTGTAAAGCCACAGCCATTGTTTCTCATAGACCAGAAATCATGCAGGAAGAGAAAGTCAATGCGTCTATTTTTTGGATGAAATGTATTTATTATTACAGCGACAAAAAGTCAATGTTTAGCTGCACGTCAAGAATTCTTACCCAGTCCAAATGAGGTCCATAATTCAGACAAATAGAATCATGCACCCAGTTCAATTCGAGAAAATGATCGATGCAATAAACAGACAGTGGTATCAAATAACATCCAAAATCATTGTGAGAGTTCTGTTCCAAAGGAGGAAACTCTTTATCATAGCTATCACATTATTTTAACAGAAACAGGTTGTGTTATTAAGACGCATAGTGTATTATTATCTGAAAGTAGTCACGCAGAAAACTTACATGGTTTTCAACATTAAATGTCCCATAATCATTGTTTGGTGCTGTTTTCGCCAGTTTATCAAGATTTCGTTTGTTAAGATATTCTTGTAATCTATCCGCAATGAAATCACCTTTTGTATCCAAATAGACAATGGATACTGTTTTATGCTTTTGAAGTACAGAAGCACATAAAGAAAGGCAAAACTGAAAACAGACGGAAAAAAACAATGATAAGGTGAACAATTTGACACTAGAATGCTCGATCGATAAATGCAATAAAAAAAATGTTAGATAGTTGAAAGAGAAAAATGACAAAAAAATTTCGATACAAAGAGTAGATGCACATCTGTGTCATTGAGAACGTATCTGAACAAAATCATGCATCATCCAACATATCTTAGCTCTTAATTACAATCACTGAATGAACTCCAATCATATAATCTCTTAATTATAAATCAGTTCAACAGTCAATGACTCCTATTCATTGAGTTAATGTCATAAATTAATTTGATTTCTAAAATAGTTCAATTATTATAATATGAACTTGAAAATGTTCATTGGTATGCTGATTATGATTATGATGATGATGATGATGATGATGATGAATTAGAAACAGAATTGTAAATTGTTGATGTTTAACAATTAAACATCAAAATTTCATCAATGCAAATCATGAAACTTTACATAGGTACAGCAAGACTATGAAAGAATAATAAATTTGATTAGATTAACAACCACAGAGCAATAAATGAGCAAATGAGTTGTTAAGGCAGCAGTACAATTTAGAAATGAAAATTATTTAATAATTATAAATTATAAATATATACCAAAAGCATTTGTAAAACAGGGATAGTTAATGAGTGAACACACATATAACATCAATGCATTATGAAAATGCCTATAAGGTTTCAATTTAACAGTGAGATACTCTTTAGAAATAATGATATCTTTAAGAAAGTTAAAAATAACCAACTAATATGTCATCTTATAACCTGCATAAGAAATTCATCTTACACATGGACAATATGCTAAATCTCATGGTAAGTCATTTTAACATATTGACACTTTTATTATTTTCAATCGAAAGAATTGAGATAAAATTATAGAACTATTAACTCCTTATAAACAATTCTTATCAAAGATCACCTTTTTTTAAGTAATCGTTACAGCGAACTCTTGTTCCTACTAATATTTTGAAATTTTTGAGGTTGAGCATTAGCCCTTACACTCCATATAAGAGTAACTTTGCATATTTGGTATACGTTATATTCTGAAAAAAACTCTGTCTGAAGCCCCTCTGGGATTGGCGACCCCATTCGACAAGAAATCTAACTAGCTAAAAAAAACGCTGGCCAGAAAACATAATTCAAACCATTCTAAATCTGCCCTGGGAGTTAGGTCTTCGTTCAGAAGACTTAAGAGGTTTCATGATAAAGCCGAGTTCCTTCGGCAGTCAAGAGGCCAATGCTCTTTCTGACGATCAGATCAACCATTCTTTTGAGTACATGGAATGTTCGAACAATGTAGGAGATCAGAAGACTATTTCAAGTTGCAGCAGAAATGAAAAGATACAACCTGGAGGTGCTCGGAATCAGTGAAACTCATAAGACACAGGTTGGACAAATAAGACTAGCTTCAGGACAGTTGCTGTTATGCTCCGGGCACGAAGAAGAATATGCCTCACACACACAAGGAGTTGTCCTGATGCTGTCCAAACAAGCACAAAAGGCACTGATAGGATGGAAATCTCATGGACCCAGGATCATTAAAGCATCCTTTAAAACAAAGAAAGAGGACATTACAATGAACGTCATCCAATGTTATGCACCTACCAATGACTACGATGACGACGTTAAAGATCAATTCTACGAAAGGCTGCAGTCAATCGTCGAGAAATGTTCACCAAAGGATTTGACCATTCTTATGGGAGACCTGAATGCCAAGGTTGGCATGGACAACACTGGATATGAAGACATCATGGGACGACATGGACTAGGAGAAAGCAACAAATATGTTGAGAGATTTGTAAACCTATGTGTCTTCAACAAACTGATCATCGGCGGAACATTATTCCCACACAAACGCATACACAATGATGTATGAATTTCACCGGGTTAAACTAATATTGAATATATTATTATTATTATCACTATTATTATTACTAATGACGACCCTACCAAATCAGAAATTGTATTCAATTAGAAAATAAATGTTCAAATAATTTCTAAATCAAATGGTAAATTAAATTGTCATGATAAATTATGATCAACCTATCAGAACTCCCAATCTATGTTGGCCACCAACAGTTGAAGAGATCAGTATGGCAATCAGACAAATCAAAAGCGGCAAAGAAGCAGGACCAGACAACATTTCAGCAGAGGCAATGAAAGCAGACGTCAAAGCAACTGCAAAAATATCTCACATTCTCTTCAACAATATTTAGGATGAAGAACAAGTACCGACAGACTGGAAAGAAGGATACCTCATCAAAATACCAAAGAAAGGCGATCTCAGCAAGTGTGAGAACTACAGAGGCATCACTCTTCTTTCAATACCAGGCAAAGTCTTCAACAGGGTATTGTTAAACAGAATGAAGGACTTCGTAGACGTCCAACTTCGAAATCAATAGGCCGGATTTCGTAAGGATCGATCGTGTATTGACCAAATTGCTACATTACGGATCATTGTGGAACAATCAATTGAATGGAATTCACCACTCTACGTCAAAGAATCCAATAGCGTGGACAGGAAAACACTATGGAGGCTTCTTCGACACCGCGGTGTGCCTGAGAAGATAGTCAACATCATACGGAATTCTTAAGATGGATTAAACTGCAAAATCATGCACGGAGGACAGCTGGCAGACTCGTCCGAAGTAAAGGTTAGTATCAGGCCACGTTGCTTACTCTCACCGTGTCTCTTTCTCCTGGTGATCGACTGGATTATGAAGACGTCAACATCTGGAGGGAAGCACAGTATTCAGTGAACAGTCTGGACGCGGCTGAACGATCAGGACTTCGAAGATGACCTGGCTCTTCTATCGCACACTCAACAACAAATGCAAGAGAAGACCAGTGTAGCAGCAGTCTCTGCAGCAGTAGGTCTCAACATACACAAAGGAAAAAGCAAAATTCTCCGATGCAACACAACATGCACCAACCAAATCACTCTTGATGGAGAAGCGTTGGAGGACGTTACCATCTTTACATATCTGGGGAGCATAATTAATATGACCAGGCTAGATCTGATGCAGATCAATCAACACGGAAATCAGGATTTTCAATACAAATGTCAAGACAGTTCTACTGTATGGAGCGGAAACATGGAGAACAACCAAAGCCATCATCCAGAAGATACCGTTGTTCATTAACAGTTGTTTACGCAAGATAATTCGGATTCGTTGGTCAGACACCATCAGCAACAACGTACTGTGGGAGAGAACAAACGAGATTCCAGTGGAAGAGCAAATTAGGAAGAAGTGGTGGAAGTGGATAGGACACACACTACGAAAAGCACCTAACTGCATCACAAGACAAGCCCTCACATGGAACTCTCAAGGCAGAAGGGAAAGAGGAAGGCCAAGAAACACACTATGCCAAGAAATAGAGAAACATATAAGAGGAATGAAGAAAAAATTGGACAGAAATGGAAAGAGAAGCCCAGGACAGAGTTGGTTGGCGAAAACTGGTGGGCGGCCTATGCTCCATTGGGGTTAACAGGCGTAAGTAAGTAAAAGCTTGTTGTAAAGAGTAGATTTTCACAAATTTGAAACTATATACTTCATATACTAATTATTTAGATTAAGAAGTCTACTTTAGTTTTGGTTCATTTCGAATGAAAAATTTTAAGCCTGGATACTTGGATTTCATCATTAGAATAAATTATGTTATTTTGAATAAATAATCATATAGAGTTGGAAAGATATAACTAACTAAGGAAGAAACCGCTATGTATTGTCATGTTAACTGTAACAATTATTCAATTAATAACTTTTGTTTTAACGGTAGCGAGTTTGTTAACACTCAAAAAATTTACTGCCTTGAATTTTAACACACAACCAGTACTTACTTGAGTTTTCCCAGTGCAAGATTTTCCGATTATTTCTGTAATTTCACTGGTTCTCAAACCTCCATTGAGCAGACTGTCCAAGCTGTGTTTGTTTAAAAAAAAAATATGAATGCAAATCCATATTTGATGATTAGGGAATAAAATTTTTATTTAGGCATAAAAACGATAAGGATTTACACTAAAAAACTCGGATTAATGAAAAGCTAATATGGGTCACTTTAACCGGATTGTGTGATGTTTGACACAATAAAAATATTCTTTATGCACTGAACTCAGCACTGTGACTTAATAATAACACAACCTAGACAGAATTAATTTCCTCCTAACTAGTTGGAATACGATTGCTTACTATTTAAATATTACAAACGGCGAGAAAAAGAGAGAGAACCTGATATATTCAACATTAAGAATGGAAAACGACTAATAGCGACACATCACTGGAAGGTGATATGTTGTAGTGAGGTATAATATCCGATCGTTCAAGTAAGCGATTGAGTCTTCGACACACCTTTATTCCATTTTAATTGTTGACAGATCCTATACTGAAAACCATATCGGTTCACAATTACAGATCGATACGTCCGAACAAAGGCTACTGTAGAATAAACAAATGTCAAGATCAACATTGTTTCGATGGGTAAGCATAAATGATTTCATCAATTGTCCCGTGTCTACCAGTTAACTAGCTCTTGTTCAGTATTTTTTTAGTGTAGAAATACAGTGCGATTCTCCTGCATATATTTTCCCGATCATAGCTGCTAGCATGACGTGGTGGTCAGACTTGCCTACCGTGATGACTCGACCGAGTTACATTGGCTGGAACATAAGTTCCTATAGGTACTACTATGCCAGACACGTCGATTGGAGAAGATTGTCTTCCCATAAAGGAAGGAACGGGTCAGAAGCGGTCGACCTTAAAAATGTCACACTTCACCTAACCACACGGATCTCCGTTTCCGTAGATAAGGCCATTTGAAGAGCGGAGCTAACACGTTAACTTTCCATAAAACGGTCATGCATGAACGGCTTCAAGCAGTTGTTCCTTTGGCTCTGTGGTCACGCTCTCACGTCGCTAAGACGAACGTTAATCCAATTTCCTTTTCAGATTAATCAAGAACTACCCTTCCACGGTGCGGGAAGCCGAGAAGTGGCATCCGCCCTCATACCCCTGACAACACACAATATCAACTTGCTCACAATCAAATCCTTCTCGTATCCGTTAATCATATAGTGCTCCAGATACAAACGATTCGAGTACATGAAATTTTATTCCTGGTTTCCTGAAACCCCGCTCTAAACTGCACGTTGGAGCTTTTAATGTTCAGACTTTGTGCCAAATAGGATAATAGACTATTTTAGTTAGGACTTTAGAGTTTCGCGCCATCGATGCTGCGTCTCCGAAACGCTTGTAAAGGATCTGAGTAAAATCATTCATTTGACTTCTTCATCTCAAAATAAGGTAACGTTGCGATTTACGCTTCGTATATCCGGAATCCCCAATGCTGTTTCACATAGCCCCGCTGGTGTAGGTATAACATCGGGTCCTAAATCGACTCAACGATGGGGCCCAACTAGACCAGACTGCTATCAGCCGCCGATGCAGAAGCTCGACAAAAGACTGTCGCTCGTTCTAGGACACATGTTTAGACCAGGACAGTGTTCTTGTATGAGTACGTATTTGTCTGCAATTTACTGGACGCAAGAAAGACACACAGCCGAGAATATAGTTCAAGAGCAACTAGCAAAACAGTTAGAAAGCCATGTAAATGATGTATACCCCGGAGAGGCTTGGAATGATATCCAGAAAACTATGGAAATAGCAGTGATATCTGACAGTAAAGTACACGAAAAGGTTGGCGAGAAACAGTGAATTTCAGTGGCATCTACTGAACTGATAGATGCTAAGAAACTCATCCCATATGGCTCTAAACATGAGGAGTGAAGGCAGCGTAGACACGTGCTGATAAGCCCAAGCAATGATCCCGAACAGTGGTGAGCAGTGAAATCAAAAGAAATAGAAGAGGGGGCGGCAGTAGGTAACAGTAGGTACCTGTTCTGAATTATCAAGGAAATTCGTGTTAGAAATCCGATTATTAGCGAAGCTCTCTTGGAAAGTCCTTTAGTGACAATCACAGAGGAATCAGTTTACCCAAATATAGTGCTTAAAACATTAGCTTCACTAATACTTAGACGCCTAACTAGAGCCTGTGAAGAGCAGATTCGAGAAAACCAGGCTAACTTCACACCTGAAGGCGAATGTATATAGTTCTATATATATATATATATATATACATATATATATATATATATATATATATATATATATAGTTCTATTTGTCGAAGATGCTGACAAAATGAAGTCTTCTGAAGACCTTGAGTAACAATACAAGCATGTTCGGGATGGGATTCTCTCCTACGAAACGCGGAATGTTGCTTCAGGATTGGGTTGCATCGGCAGAAGTAGTTAAGCATGTTGACCGCTTCACTTATCCTGGGAATCTCATCAGTCCTGATGGTCCGATGAAATCTAGGCACGGATACAGAAGGCTCGATCGGCTTTTGCCAACTCGCATCACTTATGCATAGCCGGGCTACCCGTTTGCTTACCATAAGAATAGATTACTGCACATCAGTTCACTCCGTCCTACTTTACGAGTGTGAAACATGGTTATTAAGAATAGAGGATATTCGTGGGTTACAATAATTCGCTCATAGATGTCATTGAAGTATTGCCGGTGTATTTGTAATCAACGAGCAAGCAACGCTGGTGTTAGAAATAGGGTATTAGGTAAAGATGGCAGATCAATTGATGAAGTACTGAATCAAATGAGCTGGTTAAGACATATGTTACGTATGCCTTGACAAGCGATGTTGTCCGATGTAGGGGTAGGCTCGAAGAAAGCTAGGGGCAGTCAAATCAAAACATGGTACTAATCCATGAAGTCATTGACAGCTGGACTGAGCCATGTTAGTAGGTGTAAACTGCAGCGCCTCACATACATTTTGTACTCTTATCATTGTTGAACTTGAATGCGCATATGTGCATGGGCATTGCTTACCGCCTACGCCCATAGACATTCAACTAGCTTTATTGATTAATTGTTTAAATAATTCGGCAGCAATATCGACTGTATATATTTGTAATAAGTTTGATTATTGTATCAACCATTATATATTTTGAATAATAAATGAATTGTGGCAACGACTCGCGTTCTGTAGTAACAGTCGTCAGGACGGCGATATACGAAGTTTAGGAATATATGGAATATCCACTGCCACAAGGCTACCTGGTTGGAGTTCGCGAGACAATCTTCATCTCTCAAACTCCTCATAATGTGCTTTCCCTTCCTAAAATTACTTTATTGGGATGTACTTCTCGAAGCATGTCTTCGAACGCTAATGTTTTCGATTATCGCTAATACTGCCACAATCTTTACCACTATGGGATTTGAATTGACAATTCCATCTCGGCGTGCTAATGTGGTATGATGGCAGCTTGAACCGTTGCAAGTACGAACCAAGTTCTATGTTGTTACTGACTGAATCAATAGATACAACTATAGTCGATAATTTTTAACGTCCATTGAAAAACCTTCATCAATAAACGAGCTTTGCTATCCACTACACTCAGTAATAAGTTTCCCTATTTTGAATTTATCCAACTGATAAAGTGGCACAGTTCAATTATGTTTAATTGAAAACTAATGCTAAAAATAGTAAGAACAAATGTAATACTTTACTTGTCATTTCCAGTAGAAAAACAATGTGAATATTTCAATTCGTCAAGTAACAATTGAGCACCATTTATTGATTTAGGACACCAATAAGTCATGAGTAAACGTTGAAAAGAACTATGTTCCTTTAATGCAATAAAATAAAAAATAAATTTATTCAATATTCAATAATCAGCTTTAATAAAAAATTAAGTCTTATCACTTCCACATACAGTTCAATTAATTAACTGTCAGTTCCATTTCAGAACAAATTTTATAGTTAACATCGTTTGATTTAGTTGCAGCTGCTCTCAAGCAAGTATCATCAGTTTAGAGAAGAGTTTTTTTAACTTATGAAATTCAACCATTTGATTTATGTGTAAATATAAAACATATCTAGATTAGTAAGTGGTATATGATTATCAATTTTTAAATTTTTCTCAAGTTGTTTTTCAAAATACATTGCTGAACATGCTCAAAATGAATGAAAATCATCAAACAAACAAAAAAAAAATCAGGAAAAGTAACAGATATAAATAAGTAGTGTGAATACAAACTGAAATGTGAATAAAATAAAATTGCTAAGATGCTGAATTATCATTCTAAGCCATGCAACAACATGTCTCCAATCCCATGTGAATTACAAACATTTTATATGAATAGTCATTGATTGATTCAATGTTCTAAGCCAACTTTATAAAATGATATAAGAAATTTATTTTATTAATCTGAGCTTATCTTTGAAAACTGTTAGAAGACTGTTAGCATTGAGTTTTAGGACAGGCGATAGCAAGTTGTAAACTTGATTTGCAAAATCCTAATACGCTCTTTAAAAAAGCAGTCAACTCTTAATGATCCTTTTGGTTTGCTGATAGCGACACTTGGTTCACTTCTATTCAAGATTAAGTCAATTTCAAAAACCACACAATGTCTTCCTTTATTCTAAAGGCTGCTGTAAGAAATAATAGGATAAAAGAGAATAACCATGGTAGATAGTTACTACTACTAACTGAGTGTTCTCAAGTTCCGAAATCCCCACTTAAGTATCATCTTTTTATATAAATCATTGTTTACTATGTTTGAAATTAAGTCAATGGAAGTGTGACATCTGAATTAACAAAGTATCACTTAATCAGACGACTTACCTTTTTCGAGTCAATTTACGAAGTAAGAGGCTCCTTATCGAGAACTCAATGTTATTGTTACACCTCTCAAACCGAACGCCTAATTTTCAATATAACAAGGTTTAGTTGTTAAAATATTCTATATATATTGTTAGCAAAGTTTTAGAAGACCATGGTTACTATTTAGTAAACTTGAATCGCTAAGAGTAGTTAAGTATAAGTACAAGGTTTACATCAGACAAGAAGAGTTGGCAACACAGAAACATTATTTAAGTGTAGAAAATGGAGTATAACCGTAAAGGATTCACTCAAATGATTTTGAAAGTAAGCAAGACATCGACAGATTCTGTATTCGTATATCATAATGGAATAGTTCATCACGAACGAAGAGGGAATTCCTGAAATTGTTCACATATGACAATTTAAGCGGGGGTGGCCATTATTTGTTTGCATCAACTCTCTACTCTTGAATCACTGCTACAAGTAACAGGAATCTACGAAGATAGGAATTGCGTTATTTATTTTCCTGAGCATTCCTAACTTTTAATTCTGCTTTTAGAAAGGAATTTACTCCAGATACTCCACAAAAAAGTTTTCAGCACAACTTTAGTATTGCTGATTAAACTTTCAACTCGTTGTCTGAACCATCTATATCGAACTGTCTAGTATTATATTCTGGTCAATAGAACTAACTGTAACATACTCAAACGTGAAACTGACAGTAGTTTAATACTTGAAATAGATAAATTAAAATAGTGTTATGAACGAAGATGTTAAGAACAGATGGTATAGTAATGTGCTGAAAAAGACAGTTTACTAAGATGTATGTATACACTTCATCTTCAGAATTCGATTCACAAAACAAACACATTACTGGCTATCTTCTTTCATATCTTCTAATCCTGAAAACACTGATCGCGCCATACAGTCAGATACGACACTTTTCTCTCCGGTCGTAACTTCAGGGGACCACACTCCGCTGCACACTATGTATACTACTTATAAGCACATTGTGAGTAGTATTCACCAAAACAGGACGGTGAACAATAAAAAAGCATTGACGATTACAATACTAATTGCTTACAGAGTAGGAACTTGAAAAATAGGAGGTAAAAGATACACAAAATTAACAGAACTGAATAAATAGATATTTTAATTTCTACAATAATACTGAATCCAAATGATTCATTGATATTGAATTATTGTAGTGTGCATTATTCACAGACAATAAAGAGAATTAGATTAATGAAAGTATTTGAACGTTTTTTTTTTCTAACCAGATCATAGCGATAATCTTTGCATCTGAACACATTCATTCTGGTGATTAATACATTTTATCGTTATTCTAATCGATTTCAATCTATAAACTCTTTCATTGACACTTTTATCCAACTTTATTAGATATTAACTGGGGAGTGTACACAGCTGTAAGGAAAAAAAAATTGCTATTGAAAAAGATGTTGTTACATCTTTTAATGTATTCATTGTTAGTCTAATTCTAATTGATTCATCTTTGTAGAATGAAGGTTAGGTCGAGATTAAAATGAGTAACTAGACAGTGTAGAACAAACGACTAGTGAAAACTGAGTGTTAGTTATGCTTAGATAAAATTACATAACTGATAGAGGAACATGACTTTTGAGGTTAAACAAGTTAACTTAAGGTCATTTACTTAATGAGGTCACATGCAGTGGCAACCAGAATACATCATTTACAATAAGATGTGTGCTGCGTGCTCGTTCAATATTTCCAATCATGTCTTACAATACCATCCCCATCGAGGAATCTTCAACATGAATTCAACACTCTGTAGGCTTTTAAATTTATAGCAAGTTTACCAAAACTGTCAACTAATAGTTTTCGACTCACCTTCGTGTCAGAATTATGTTTTAACAAGCCAATATTATTTAATTTAGACCAATCATTCGCATGATAGTGATTTTTTTGTGCAGATTTATTTTTATTCACACTATCATTACAATTCTTCATAGTAAAAGTAGTATGTGGGTTGGCAGAGTTTTTACAGACTGATAAGTTGTTTTCATTTGATGATGATGGTGAATTTCGATCAGATAGCAGTAATAAAGGTAACAATGGCAGATTGATAAAATGTGATCTTTGCAGAAGATGAATTTTTGAAGCAATAATTTCAATTGATTCTTCGTCAATCATGATAATCAAATAGAATGAACACTCCTCGAAACGATGTTTACAAAACAAAAATTTGAGAAACCTAAGGAAATAATAACAACAACAATACAAAAGTTAACAAGTTTTGAATGTTAACTTTTTTTTTATTTTTTTTTGAGAATTCATAACAATAACTCAATGTGATTGGAATAAAGGATAAATTAAAATTCATGCTTTATTATTATTATTATTGTTAGTCGATGATGCAATAAGCCTTTAAGTTTGTTTGCTCAATTAGAAGTTCATCATCACATGTGACCTTTACCAGCTGACCAATTTAATTATACAGATCTTATGATTTAAAGATAACAGTTAACTTTTGAAATTAAAACTTGAGTGACATGACCAATAATAAGCAATACAGTTGATCGATAAATGCAAGTCTAGTAGATTGTTAAGAAACTAAAGTACATATTAAAGGTTCTAGGCATACGCACTGTTATCGATTGATTTAGTTATATGCTTACTGTTTGACAGAATTCATCTGTATCAGTGCACGCATTAGAATGATTAATATTTATGCACAACTTAATATATACAGAGAACTTATTGGAACTCTTCTTCATAATCATTGTGAAATTTAAAACTTTATCAAAATAAAAAAAATCATACATTTCATTGCCTGATAAACATTAATTGAAAATAATAATCAAATGTAAAAGAAAGAATAGAACAATTAAATAGACAAAAGAATTAAATAATAAAACTCAAAATAAAATTCTTCTTATGTTATAGCACCAATATAGTTAGTTAGTTAGTTATATGACAATGATGCGTGTCTATTGAAACCTGATCGAGGCAACAGTTAATGAAGTTTAATTATTATTGTCATTGCCATTATATATATATATACATATATATTATACAGTTGCTTGTCTGATTCATGCTTTAAATGAAATGTGATATTATAGTTTAAAGAAACAAGTTCGTTTATTGTGTCAATCCATCCAAACTAGGTGAAACTATTAGAAGAACTTTCTGAAGAATTGCTTTACTCATGTACTTGAAAAAAAAAAAAACTCATCAAACTTCAGATAGATTGACTGACAATCGTTGTATGAAAACACTCTACCGATTTCTATGAGAACATTTCACAGTTTGACTAAAAACTTGATTTGTATGAAGCAATTAATTTTTTAAAAAAATATTGTGAAACTCCTTCTGTTTTTACTACACACAAAGATTGAATGAAGCTTATTGAATTGTGCATAACTTCTTAATGATCATTAAAAACTGTACTGAGTATTTAAAAACACTAATTTCAAAGCTAAATAGGCAGAGTTATTCTGTCAAAGTTATTCAGGAAAAAATATCGAGAATATTTAAGGATGGTATTATTATTCAATAAATCTTTCATAGTCTTCAAAAAAACAAACTGCAACTACAGAAACAAATATTGTCTAAACGCATTCAGTGATATGTCAGAAATGATAGATGTGAATAATAATACTTCTACATATATTGACTGATAAAAGCTATGCAAATACTATTGCATATTTTATTAATCTCATAATGCATGCATTTCCATGGTTAGTTTGACATTGTTGACCTATTCGAAATGAGAAAGGTAGAATTCCCGTTAGAGTTGAGAATTTTTTATTTTGTCAATTTACAATCAGTATTTACTGATTACTGATTTAGAAACCATCGATTTCACTATTGAACAATGTTCAAAACAACATTATTCAATTGACAGAATAGACTATCAAAAAATAAAGTAGAAATAGAAATAAAAAAAAACTTAAAACAATCAAAATCCAATGGAACCTTCTTCGTCAAATTTTTAGGAAGATTGAACAATTCACAGGACATAACATTATTATTATTATCATTATTATTATTATGATGATGATTACACTTTGTAATATTTATAATGGAATAAGATTTCTACAATTATTGTAATTTCAATGTAGTTCAGATGTCTGTAAACCATAGAAAACAATTCACACATACACAAGATACAATAAAAGAACAAAGAGAAGAAAAAGAAGAAAACAATGTTTTTGAATCAATCAATCAGTCGATCGATCAATGAATGAATGAATTCATCCATTTATTCATTCATTAATAATAATAATTATAACAAGAAGTAAATAAGAATGAATTGATTGCATTTTATCATCTATCTGTCTTGTAGTAAACATGAAACAAACAAACAAAGAAGTTTGCTCGTAAATCTCGGTCTAATTTCTGATGCTTTTTCATTACGAGACAATTTCTATTTTTATACCAACATTGTTGTTGTTGTTGTTACAAAGGTACATGATTAAATAGATAGGAGACCGATTCACCATTATGCGTTCGACGAATAGCTTCAGCCAACATGGTGCTGACATCAATACACTGAAGAACAAAATAAAACACAACAGAAATGTTTCTGTCAATAAATAATAAAAAGAAACAACCAAGCAATCAATTTCAAACAATTTACACCTTATCCAGGTAGTGATGACAGATCTTTTAAACATGGAACAGAGAACAATTTGTCGAGACTTGAAACAAAACAAGAAAAAACAACACAATAGACACAAGTATGTTAAAAGATTATCATCACTTTATTTGAAACGATGCGATTTTAATAACAGTTGCTATGTTGCCACAAATATTACGAACCTATTGTATTTGACTCTTTTTCATTCTAATGTGCAGTGATATTGACTGCTGTCCTAAAATATATGAAGCTTGGACTTTCAGTTTGTTTGTTTGTTACTAAATCTTGTGTTTTATTTACTTAGTAGCATAGCGTTACATTCATCAGATTTTACATCGTTATATGTAAAAATTTATAAAGTTCATCAATCACTTGTTTGTATATATGTATTCATGATGACATGTGTATTGAAAAACGCTTTAGTAAAATAGCGATTTGCTTCAATGTTTAGGCAATCAATCGTGTAAATAGTGCAACATAATTCATTTTCAATTAGTTCAATTGAATTAATTCTAAATCAAAACAGTATGAATTCGCACAGTATTATGACCATTGCATTGCTAAACATTACATATCTTAAAGCGAAACACATTGTACACGGTTAGCATGTTTATCTCAATTGTTCAAGATGTATTACAGTCAATATTGAATGGCTGCAAACAGATAATTGCAGCATCTGAAATGATAGTTCAAACCGTTTACCGATTGAACATAAATGACTGACAACTGACTATTCGATAAATATTTACAAGTAATTATTTTTTTTTGGAATAATTACAATTTGAGTGTAGGTAAAAACGTAGCCTGATCATCACAATATATATACGACGAAGACTGAGAAAAAAATTATTTTTTTAATGTAACAAAATTAACAAATAATGACTACAAATATTCATCATATCATTTATTGGCAATATATATATATATATATATATATATATATATATATATATATATATGAGCATAAATATCATTTTCATGTTAAAACAAAATAAACTATTTCAAAACAACGTTGTGTTATTTTATTGAAATAATCCAGTTGAGTTAAATTCTGGTCTAGTTTACTTTGAGATTGATTAGCGCATTCAGTCTATTTAACAACAACAAAAAAAACCATGTGATCTATTGTGTTGACAGTCCATGTTTGTATCACTTTGATGTTGCATCATCTGAGAAGGATGATTATACTAGGAAGTTTTTATTTTTATGATGAACAACATAATCATCGCCTAATGTATCAATATTCATGAAAGGATGATCATACTTGCATTAGTTTTCTCTTTGATACTTTACTTCTATCGGCTAGTGAATGTTAATCGCTTGAGAAAACTCTTAGTACATAAATATATGCATCTTAGAAATATTGTGATTCAAGCTATTGCACAATGGCTTCTCACTAGAACTCCAAGAATTTCCTCACGAAGCTGATTACTAGTGAGCTATGGACCAAGGGAGTTAATTCCTGTCAGGTGCAGGCAGTTCCCTACAGAAGACAATAGATGAGGTTGCGTAATACCCTGCACTGGATTCAAAGTTGCATATCGGCTCAGTGGTCTAGAGGCTAAGCGCTCGCTCATGAGACTGAAGGTCCAGGGTTCAATTCCTGCGAGCAGGCATCACGAGTGTGCATTGCTGACGAGACCCACGCTAGGAGGAAATGGCCGTTCAGTGCCTCCATGTTTCTAATGTTGGTTTAACATTAATTGGTTCATGATTTCAATGACACTCAACAATCTTTATCACTCTATAATGACACACTATTATCGATTTCAGAATGTTTTTACCTGAATTTTAGGCGCTTTCCGCATATTTTCTTCTTGTGGTAAAGTATTTGTGACAACGACAGCTTCAAAAGCAGACTTATTAATTCGTTCCAGAGCTGGACCTGAAAATATTCCGTGAGTGCAGATAGCATAAACACGCTCAGCACCAGCTTCAATCAATCTGTAGTTTGACAAGTAGAATAAATAATATAAATATCACGAGGCAGAAAACATAAAGTAATTAGTATGTTCAAAATAAAATGCTTAAGGTTAATTAATTGCATTTGGTTATCTCATGGAGAAGACAGTAAGGCTTCACAAAATGAATGTGAATAAACAGTCTAATACAGAAAGAATCTGCTATTCTTAAGTCACATAATTACTATCATTATTTACAATGTCGTAACTACTTTCTAAAAATACATGGCTTAAGCTGCCACACGATTCAATAAAACACAAAATATCAGAAAATGATGAACGGCGTCATTATCCTGCATGGTTTGTATACAGCTTCATGATAACTACTTATGGTTGGAGTCGCAACAAAACTTCTAACAAAATAACTATGAAGATTATCAGCTTACTGATTCTGTATTTTATGTAGTTAAAAACCTTTCTTATCTTAAACTCATTTCGCATTTGTGTACTTGATTTTAAGCAACATATAAGGTGTGAAGGCTATTACCATCACCCGGGCGTCTACACTGAAGTGGGTAGAGCAGAGTTCGAACCTCTAATCGCGGGGCTAAAAGTTAGAGGGTATAACTACTAATTCACCCTAACCACTTCCTGAATCGATAACAATAATGTATGACAGGTAGGTTGGAATGTCTTGATCTCGACAAACGATCAGAATCCTGAGCTCTATCAAGTCAACGTAGCCGTAAACAACGCTGATTCAGTGAAAGATGCTCCAAAATTGATAACTTTTACCCAAATTTCGAACTGTTTCAGCAAAAAGCTGACAGAAGTCTTCAATTGAAGTCTGTTTAAGTAATTTTAATCTGCGGATATCAAGATAAAAGTTGTATCAGGGATTGGAAAGCTTCTAAAGACATTATTAACGACCGAAATTGGTAAGCATCCTCATAACTGTGATCTTGAAGTTCAGAGAATACGATATAGAGCAACAGGTGTCAATGTATGAAACTAAGGCTATGGCGGCCTCATCTCAAATTGAGTTCGAATACGTTTAAATCTACCAATCAACTTAACTAACGAAGTATCATTATTGTCAGTAATAATCTGACAAGTTCTGTATATTTCCACGCTTGTATAAACTTATATGATCAACCACATGTTACAGACCACAAATAAACTTTTCTCACTCGCTTAAATGTTAATTACCTAAAACGATGAACGATTGATATGCATATATGTTTGAATTTACTTGTAAAATTAGTTAATTCAACTCACATTAAAATTGATTTGTGCTGTGCTGGAATAAACTGTTGTGAGAATTTTGTACTACTTTTAGAAAACCAAACTTCTGTAAATTATAGTAACAAGGCTTAAGAGGGTGATAAATATAAGAAGTTGAGAAGTAGTCTTGGAAATATACCACAATAATGGGGTATGTTAATATAAGAGTCAATGATGAAATGGTTATACTGAACAGGTGTGTAAGATAAGGACTTATATTATGCTAACCAATCGAAACTGATTTTTACGGAGTGTTAATGGAAAAAAGGTCACAATTTTCGAAGGACCAATCGTTGTTGAAGTTTCGTCAATAATACAAATTTATGACAAAATAGTAGATCATGCAGTGATAATAAGTAGGTATGAAAGGGTTCACCAATGCTGAAAACATGTTAACGTAAGACATTTAGCTTACAATGAGATTAGAAGAATGTTATTTGAATCACAAATTATTGACGAGTGGAAAGATTGAATACAAAACACTAATGTAAGCCTCTATGTCGATCAGAGCAAATGGAATAAAGCAGTGAGACTTTGCTAACTGCATCACGGCTCATTTTTAACAAGGCTGTTCATATAATTGATCTTTTATCAACTTCTTGCTGCTACCTTGACATGGTGGTCGGGCTTGCCTATCGTGATGACTCAACCGAGCTATATTGGCTGGAACATATGTTCCTGAAGGTTCTACCATGCCAAGCAGGTCGATTGCAGAACGATGAGACTAAAAGCAGCTACTCAAGATCTGAGGACTAAGTTGTAATGCCGACTGTAGAGGGGTGTGACAACAGCAAGATGTTTCCTTCGGACAACCAGCATCTGCAGCAATGCTGCCTTCTCACAATAGAAGGAACGGATCAGAAAAGGTCAGCCTTAAAAATGTCACTCCTTACTTTGACCCACAGATTTCCATCTCCGGGAGTTAGGCCTTTTAAAGAACGGAGCTAACACGTTAAAAAATTCCCATTAAAATGCCGTGCGCAAGCGGCCCTAAGCAGTTGTCTTTTGGACTCTACGGTCATGCTCCCAAGACGCTAAGACCTCCGCTAACCCAACTTCCTTTTCAGGTCCCTCAAAAAGTACCTCTCCAGTGTGCAAAACCGAGAAACGAAGTCAGCTCTCATACTCCTGATAGCACTTGCTCATAATCGAATCCTTACCCCAATCCACGACTAACTCTTCTCGTATTTTTTATCTACTCGCACCGCTACTGCTGACGATTTGAGTACGCGAAGTATTATTTCTGGTTTCCTGAAACATAACACTGGCAATACAATATATAAATTAAGAAGATGGTAAGTTTATCTTAAAAATATTTAAAATGAATAAAATTGTGCATTACTTGTCTGCTGCAGTGCATATTGTTCCACATGTATCAGCCATATCATCTACCAGAATAGCGACACGATTATTTACATCTCCAACGAGAACCATGCGATCCACTTCATTTGCACGCTTTCGTTCTTTGTGAATCAAGGCGAAATCAACATTTAACTGATCTGCAATTGAAGTTACTCTGAAAGAGGAATTAAAAAAATAAACTGGAGAATGGAAAGTTTGAATTGAGCCAACCTAGCTGACTAAAAACAATATTTATAAATTATATAGATTAAAGATAATAATATGGGGTTGGTCATGAAACGAATAGGACCCATCAAAGTGTTGAGTGCTTAAGGTACGAGGGAAAGAAGAACGTTAGTTAGCCAATCGAGACCTTACAGGTAGGAACTCTCTGTAACGGTGCAAATCCGAACACCACTAGTATGGATATGATTTCTGTCGGTATTTTAAGTGAGGCTGGAAGTATTCGATACGCTTGAGTACATGCAATAAATACAACAGACCAAATACTAATAAGTGTGAGATGTGTTCATTAGCAACTGACATCACGCACTGCCGACAGATGACTCACAATAAACATTACATTCAACTGAATATATCATTAATAAATATAACAGATATGAAAACTTATGTGGTGGTATGAATTCTTGCTTAAACTAAAATTGTTTAAATCCCAAACTAAAGTTATCACTGGTCTATTTATATAAACGATTTACATGAATAGACCGCATCATTGAAGATATACTATTAAATGATGTTTTAATATTGATTCTGTGACTGTCGATATGAACCGAAACAAATGATGGAGTATACTCGATTAGATGTGTAGGACTAAAATTATATTCATTTACTCAGCCTTCAAAATGTTTAGGTAGCAAATAAAATTATCTTATGTGTATGGATGATGTGACTTGAAAAGATTATTACTGCATAGATTATTTCACCTAATAGATCCGGATATTTGATAAGTTTGTGATTAGTTTCTGATCAGTTCAAACTATAACTTGAAGGTTGTCGATGACGTGAACAGTTTGTTCGACAATTGACTCGACACATTAAACCATGCACAGAAACATGAGTTCTATTGCTTTCAACTGTTTCGTGGGGATTATCATAACAAGGTCGTAAACCAAACAAATGGGCTTGTTTCAGTTATTGATTCACTAAACTGATATAAAAGACCCATGACTGGCATGATTTATCAATTTATTCGTCCTCTCAAGATTTATTGTTTTTGATTTGAGGGAAGATTTTTTTTATTTTTCAATATGAACGTGTTTCAGTCAGATTCTCTTGTCGAATAACTGCTTTCAATCTACCAAGTTTTACCTGTAAAGCAGAGGTTAGATATTAAAGATTAGTGTCTACAAGTTTGAAAGGTAAAAAGTCGATCAGTTCGTCTAGTTATTTACATCATTCACATTTAATTAACTCATCCAGTTTTCTCTCATTCTAACACAACGATCAGAAAAAGTATTTGATTAAATTTATCAAAATTTATTATTTTATTTAGTAGTGCTAAACACACACGAACTACCTTTTAGCGCCACCAGCATCTGGACTAACAATGCAACAATCCTTCCATTCTGGTATATTTGTTTTGACCCATTTAATAACCGCAGGCTCAGCATACAAATTATCAACAGGAATATCAAAAAATCCTTGAATTTGACTGGCATGTAAATCCATTGTTATAATGTGATCAGCTCCAGCAACTGATAGCATATTGGCTACTAGTTTTGCAGAGATAGGAGCGCGTGATTTATCCTATTTCAAAATAAAAGTAGTGAATTCGTCATAGAGAAGTAAATTTTGCTGAAATCGATGTGCGAATTAAGTGGAGAATATTTTCTTACTACTCCCCCATAAAGTAAGTAGCTATAGAGTCTACATTTCATTTGTGGTGAACATTTTCATCGGTGACCTTGTCTGACTGTCGAATAATTAATCACCTAATGCTTCTAAACTACCAGTGTCTATCGATACAGTTCGTCAAAAATATTCACTTTTTCTACTCGATCACATGTTACCTAACAAAAAGTTAATTAGTGATTTCAATGGTCATTATGAATGACGAAGATATTTTTTAAGATAGTGCAGTGAATGACACGCTGAACGACTAACCAGCAGCTTATTACTCCAAATTAAAAAAACGAAAATAATAGAAATCGATCATTTATATATTTGTTGGATGCTTAGCGAAGCTATTTACAAATGTAGTAAAGTGATTATCATCATTGGTTCTACTTGTAAAGCCCTGATGCTACTTCCCGGGGTCTCGCTGGTGTACGTATAGCATTGAGTCCTAGGGTAGAACTATTTCTCCTAGACTGGATCCCTGTAGATAGTCGCTTGTGCGCCGTCCGACTAAACGGGACAGTAAGGATTCGGAAGCATAGGGACACTCGTCGTTGCCTCTTCGTCATATCAACCTACGCCCCCACTGACTGCTGTTCAGACGATCTGAAGGATGAGTTTTACAGAAAGCTTTCGGACCATCGGGATCCAGTCTAATTGAGCCAGTTTAGCCCTAGGACTTAATACTATACCTACGCCGGTGAGGCCACGAGAAGCGGCATCAGGGCTACCACAAGCACGTAGAGCAAACCTTTTTGTGTCTCTGTCTGCACTAGGTGAGACCAAATCGATGATTTTACTCGGACAGCGTACAAGCGACTATCTACAGGGATTCAATCTAGGAGAGCTAGTTCTGCAGTTTAGAACGGGGTTTCAAGAGAGCAGGAATGACGTTTCGTGAACTCGCATCGTTTGCATTAGTGATGCAGTGAGATGAAGGAATGTGAGTAGAGTTAGTCGTGGAGATAAGAGAGATATTAGGGGTTGTAGGAAGGCTTTAATTTTGACCAATTTGGTCTCGTGTGCTGTTACGGGTATGAGGACAGTTGTCACTTCCGGTCTGCCCACACCGTGGAAGGTTGTTTCTTGAGGGACCTGAAAAGGAAGGTAGATTAGTGTTGGTCCTCGAGACCTAGGAGCGTGACCACAGAGCCCAAGAGACAACTGCTTCAGGCAGCATTGCTGCAGATGCTGGTTGTCCGAGGAAAACACCTTACTGCTGTCACACTCCTCTACAGTCGGCTGTACGACTTCGCCCTCAGACCTTGTGTAGCTGCTTTTAGTCTCGTCGTTCTGCAATTGACCTGCCTGGCATGGTAGAACCTTCAGGAACATATGTTCCAGCCAATATAGCTCGGTTGAGTCATCACGATAGGCAAGCCCGACCACCATGTCGAGGTAACAGCTACGGTCGGGTGAACCTTTCGTAAGCCCTAACCAAAAATATTACGAGAACTACTGAAATTAATTAATACGAACGGCTATAATTCGTTAAAATAACCCAGACACATACCTATTTACGCAGTGAAAACAATCTGCTTTGGAATAGAGACCTGCCTATTGACTCCGAGAAACTGAATGTGATCAGTCCTAGCGTCTATTAACAGGTTTATATTGAAAACAATATATTTCGTTAGTGCTAGAACTGAAATTTATTTTATCTTGAAATTACTAGGCTACTTCAGATTGCTACGTAAAATTATTTTTCAACAGACATGTCAATATCGCCATAATTAAGTGTAAATGTCTTAGTGGTCGAGGTACTTCATGAAATGGCCTAAATCCTAAGGTTGTTCGCCTCGATCAGCAGAACACCTCCGGATTCTAGAACTTAACAAGCAAATAAATGTTAATCTAGCTACAAATCATTTGAGAAAGCAACGGAAGCCTTAAACAATTCACAACCTCATCTTTTATTTTGCTTATCAGATGGCTACATAGAAATATGGGTGTATAAAGTCAGAAAACTGGAAATGCAGGACTTGTCCACTCGTTTTTCGCCCTTTCGCTATGAGCGGATACGAGAGTATCAAATAGTTGCTGGTCAAGTACTTAAGTAACAACACCTAACATCTCAAAGGTACGAGGTATTTTGGGTATAAGGGTCTTTCAGCTTTTGCAGTTGATAAAATAATACCGACGAACCCTATAAAAGCTCTCTGTAGTACGTTATTGAGCTACCTTTATTTCATGGAAATGAATACATCGGAAATTCTAAGCAAGATTTATATCGTTATATTGAAGTGAATAACAAATAACAATAAATCACTTTCAAGCATAACGCAAAAGGGAAACTGGTACTTACTTTCTTGTCTTGTCTCGCGTACGGAAAACAAGGGATGACTGCAGATACTCTTGAACTTGAAGCGATCTTACAAGCACTAATCATTATGAGTAGTTCCATGAGATTGTCATTCACTTCCCCACCACCAGTCTGTATTATATAAACGTCTTCTCCGCGAACTGACTCCTCGACTTCAACACTATTAAATATACATGGATTAGACTTGTCATTATTGAAATATATGCCTAGAAGACTTTACTAACCATGTCTCCTGGTTACTAAACTTTTTAGAAGTGACTTTGCCCAATCGACATCCAATACGGTCTGCTATCTTTTGAGCCAAGTCTGGATTTGAGCTCCCAGAAAATACCTTTATGTTTGGCATCAGCGTGATACTGACCACCAAACGGGATGGATGGAAAGTCGAGTTCGAGTCAAATCAGCCTCCTTTTTGTTTTCGCGACCTTGAGCGGCTTTATCCTAGGTGAGCACTCAGTAAACAAAGTGCGCGAAGTAGGTCAGTTGTGCGTTGATCTGCTTGAATCTTTAAATATCACATGATTACAGTGTTCGATCAGTCTTTGAGGATTTAAAACCTGCTACTCACTTCCGATATCCAATATCTTTTTCACGAGCTAGTGTAAACCAATTGATTTCTTTGCGCTAGAATATTGTTCTTTCGGTACCGTTCCAGGTGTTCGGTAGTGTCCAATGAATGGGGGTCTAGCCACTCGACTGTCAAATTCTAGTCAGCTTGCGTTTGTTTGTGAGTTTGAGTCTCGGGAATTGAAAGAAAACGTTTGTTTCAGGGCAGCAGGGTTTCTGGATACCAGAAGCTATCACATTATCAGACCGGAGATCAGTTAGTTGCAATATAGAGAATAATAAGGATAATAAGATAGTATGGGATTTCAAAACGTAACAGAATATAAGCAAATTGATTGGAATGCATTTCCAGGCACTTTGTTAACATTTGTTTGATGGCTTAACTTACGCAGGTAGTTAAGGCCAAAAGAGGTGGAAGATAGTACGCCTAATACGCCTATTTCAATAATTTGAACTATATCGAGAGATCATAAACACGAGGGAGAGACGCGTCAGCCAGTACTTGGTAGGTATTGCATTCCTGCTATGTCCTGACGATGGACATAAAAACATATAATCCCTCAACCGAAAGACCAAGCATGGCGTCCGACAGAGAGATCGACTTGAGGAATGTGTGTAAACATTTCGTAGATGAAATGTTAGCATACCGAAACAAATTAATGTCGAGCTCACCTATTGCATACGGTGGAAGTTTTATCATTCATTCTGCGTTCCCATCAACAGTTGCCAAGTCATCGCGAAAAGATAAGGAGGTTTCATTCAACATAATAGAAGTAGAGTATAGATCGGATAATCAGGAGTACTTACATTCCGTTTACAAGCTAGATAAACCCAGAAATGCCCAATCCGTTCTTTGTTAGTCACATAAGATCATATGGTGAACTCGGAAAAACTACTTGAACACAAACAACAGTACTGTATCTCGAATTCTAACTGGGCGCAAAATAATGAATAAAATAATCATTATTTGGTACAGCCACCACATTAGACAAGGCGAAGGAGCATGAAAAGCAGATAAATAAAAATATACACATAAATCTTATACCCACTACACTCAATGCGCTTTCGATGCGCTTGTATAGGTTGATGGATCCCTCGAACACGTGTCTTTGTGTTATTGGCAGGTTCCAAATCTTCAGAACTGTCCTGTGGTCGGTAGTTCAGCCATTCGGCTGCGGTGAATCTGAACGCTTTGAAGATTATCTGTACTTTTTCATCACTGAAATTTAAAAAGACCTGCTTTTCTAATCTATGCTGTTTGAACGTTAAACTGCTTGAATACGTGCATGGAAGTAACCACTATCAGCTAAAATTATTTAATTAAAGACATATCCCCAAAGACTGATGTAAGACTACTCCAGCTGCGATTAACAGGTTCACCCCTCTGATAGCCTCTCACAATTAGAAAAAGTACGACAAACATCTAAAAACACAGACTATTAATGATGATCGAAGCTCTAGGCGTACCGTACAATCACTAAAACCTAGATTTACTAGTAAATGTCTTAGTGAAAGATTCTTTTACCGCGTCTTTAATACACAGGCATTTATTTGCCCGACCGAAGCTGTTACCTCGACGTGGTGGTCGGGCTTGCCTATCGTGATGACTCAACCGAGCTATATTGGCTGGAACATATGTTCCTGAAGGTTCTACCATTCCACGCAGGTCGATTGCAGAACGATGAGACTAAAAGCAGCTACACAAGGTCTGAGGGCGAAGTCGTACAGCCGACTGAAGAGGAGTGTGACAGCAGTAAGGTGTTTTCCTCGGACAACCAGCATCTGCAGCAATGCTGCCTTCTCACAATAGAAGGAACGGGTCAGAAAAAGTCGACCCTAAAAATGTCACACCTCACCCTCCCTCACGGATTTCCGTCTCCGTCGGTAAGGGTGCCCACTAAGGGCTTTCAAGAGCTGAGCTAACACTCAAAAAACTTCTCATAAAAAGGCCGTGCGTGACCGGCCTGAAGCAGTTGTCTCTTGGGCTCTGTGGTCACGCTCCTAGGTCTCGAAGACCAACACTAATCTACCTTCCTTTTCAGGTCCCTCAAGAAACAACCTTCCACAGTGTGAGCAGACCGGAAGTGACAACTGTCCTCATACTCGTAACAGCACACGAGACCAAATTGGTCAAAATCAAAGCCTTCCTACAACCCCTAATATCTTTCTTATCTCCGTTAGGCATATAATTGCAACAACCGTCAGGATGAAAACTCTTTACATTCTTGTTTAACAATCCATCTGGTATAAATGACCCTCAAATTTATAAACGGTCATGACAAGTGGTAATTCAGTATGGTAAATACTCCTCAACTCAAAACCAATTTAAACAGATACAACCATAGCTACGAGCTTTACCATCAAGACTATGCTAAAAAAAAGTGGTTTGATGCACATTTAGCAGCAGGACAAATATTGTGCAATGTTTGCGATGAACAATACCCCGACCAACGGTTGCCATCTTTCCAAGAATCAAAACGTCACTAGAGGGAAACCCCTACCACACAGGGTAACCTTAGACAAGATACAAATTCCTGAAGAAATCGTCCTAACATCTCAAAGACTATCAGTTAAACTATCCTTCCGTGGTCAGCATCAGCGGTTGCAATGACATCAAAAGGCACATGAGAGCAGACCAGTTTCGGAGTTCACGGCCTTCCCGAGCTGGTTAGTGGTAGCACGGATGAAGCTCACGCACTGGAAGTGCAACAATGGCGATAGTTATCACGTGGCATTGGCCTTCACACCACCTCGGCCATAAGCGTTTCCCGGGTGCTTTGTCAGTCAGAGCTTATTGCTCTTAAGTTTCGACGTCATTAGCATGAATAACGGTCTCTGTAGTCACTTTAGATGTTGCTACACCCGACCCTCTGTAGCAACGCAAGAGGACTAAGGGATAAGTTGTTAGAGATTGGGAATATATGTTTCTAGAGGGGTGTGAAGATCATGATCCTAACGGAAACAGGACCATGCCCTGATACTGCAGACAATGAAGTGAGTTAGCTAGGCATGTCACTCTTTTGAAGCGATAAGGTACACCAGAAATTAGGCGTGATGGCTACACATTAACAGTCTAGCTAACAGAAGTGACAAAATCACGTTGGTTTCGTTACCATACAAATAGCACGAAATACTTGATTGGAGGGATTTACCGATCCCCTCCAGTACTAAGGCCCAGAAAGTTAAACTGACTGGGACAATACTGCATCTGCCACTGCTTGCTTTTGATCAAATATTCCTAGCTGAAGATTTCAACACTCCATCTCTAAATCTAAATAAACATAGTACAGCCCTCAACGGTCAGTTCCACAGGTTACTCGGTGAAGCCATTAAGAGTTCCGGACTGGTTGAGTATGTTTGCAGCTCCGCTAGATGAACTAAGGATGGAAAATCCTCAAACGTGGATTAGCTGTTAAAAGATGCTTAGCTTCTGGTCGAGGATGCTCACACCAATAGAAAGCAGTGACCACAGCACAATTATGTTTAACATGATCATAAACGAAATACTGAGGCGGGAAAAAAATGAGCTTTACGTTTGCCATACCGTGATGAACTACACATGCATAGGAGAGCATCTTCTACACTCCTTATGGCCACAGAAGTGGTTGATGCAAACGGTAGATGATCACTGGAAAACACTGATAGCTACTATTCACGATACATCCTACATAACTGTTAAGCACCTGTTAAGCAAGACCGTGAACGCTTGCTACAGGCGAAGAGAAAAGCCGGGTATAAGCGAAAGTTCTCTCGGGAAATTTCCGACTGCATTACTTACTTGGCATTGAAATACAGGTCTGAAGTAATAAAAGATACATTCAGACGAATCTAACAGCCAAAACAATGAGAACCCCGAACTCATTTGGTTCATGACTAAAAGAAAACTTACGAACCAGGGTTTTTGCGCCCTCAAAGGTCCGAATGGCTAAGATCTCACAGAACCAGAGATGGCTGAGATCTTCAGCACCAACTTTACCGACCAGTTAAACCAGGCACTGACACGTTCGCTTTTTCAGCACCTCATTCTATTCCTTGAATAATAGCCTTGATTTTTACAGAAGACTTCGTTGCTTGTCAAGTTACTGTCTGACGAACCCCGACAAGAAGACTACTACACATTTACCTCATCATTTATTGTTATATACTGACCTGGATTTACCTTAAATTCATTCTCAACCAGCAGTGGTTCGTCGCAACGCAACGCGCTATCTATTATACTGTACATTCCAGAGTCGAAAAAATCGTCCATATTTTTATGTAAAAATTATTATGGCTTCCTAAAAATAAGATGTGTCTTGCAAAATATTTATCTAACTGAACAAATTCTTACAGAAAATACGTTGGCAGTTTAAAAATTTTGATCTTGCTGGTAGGTTGGCGTGCCTCTTGTAACATGTTGTTATTTGAAACTAAATTATTACTACTCAAACCAAGTGCCAGCTGATGGCCTGGGAAATTTCCGACCTATTATTAAGAAAACTAAAATCCCTGCCCCTAGTAAACTTACCAGGATAAAACAAGATTCGTCCTATAGTCGTGAAACAGTGTGCAGAATCCTGTAGTGATTTCATATAGATTTGTGTTCGCTCATAGTTGATTTGGTTAAAACTTTATAATCCCTTAGTTCACCGGTATATGACCTGTTCAGATGTTCACTAGAGTCGAACCAACTCCTGGCTGAATGGAAACAAGCTACTATCCTACCAACTTTTACCGGAGGAAATATAGTAAAAAAGAACTACTTTTTAAACTTAAATTATAATGATGTGCACGTATCAC